ATGACCCACAATATCAAGAGAAATACGACTAGCAGTGTTCAGTAACAGTACAACATACAGTGCTAGGCAACAGTACCGCCCACAATATCAAGTAGTAATATGACCCACAGTATCATGAAAACATACGACTCAGTGTTCAGTAACAATACGACCAACAGCGCACCCTATAGTCGTACTACAACAACTCATGTGGGCTATACAACCATGCACAAATCATCCTCACATTGCTATGGCAACGGGATAGGACGGTTTGTGGGATTAATTTTTTATCGGCCCCAAATCTTTCCCTTGTTGGTACGGCAGTTGATCGCAGCCACAGCATTCCAGCCACACCACTGAACACCCCGGTACACATACAAACAATAGAAATAGGAACGTGAACAAGCACTAAGTACAATGCCAATGTCAACAACAACCAGTACAATGGCACACACCCGAGTCTAAGATGGCGTCTGTGAAGCGCTTGATATTGTTCTCCAGTGCTTTGAGGTTCTTCTTTACATTGCCGTCGCCCTTCTGAATGAACGACGGATTGACCTCAGTGCACTTTTTGGCGGCGATCACAGCGTCGATATGCGGCTTGAGTGTCTTGGCTAGATACTCTGCACCAACGGTCTGTGTGTGTGGTATTGTGAGATGGGTACGATTGAGAAATTATCTGACAAATAGTAGTTAACTACCTGACAATTTGAAATGGTTATGGCATATATACAAATATATATATAGATATATATATAGTTATATTGTGCAACACGCTTCAACACTGTAGTAGTCATACCTTAAAGTAATATTCAATGGCCTTAGTGGTAATGGACTGTGCTCGGAACAGCGTGCCAAAGGTTTTCGTATTGGTGGTTTCCAGCTCAATGACATTCTTCAGAAACATCAGAGCCTCGCCCCGCGATGCATACAGTCGTAGTAGTGAAATAGCCATATCCTCCTACAGCCACATTCGATAGGCATCGAAACAATAAGATAGTTTAGAATCAGATCTGTGGAGAGCTAGGGTAACTCAATAAAACAGTGTATATATATATGTCTTTGGATAGTTTGTCCTACACTTCTCAATAGACAATGACAATCGTATCAATATAGAACAGTGTCGATACATATCATACATATGTATCCGATATCCGTGTCATGTGATGCAAAGATATTGCGACTGCTTATTATATCACGGCTTGGCTCAGTACACCCGTATGTTAGCCAGCCAGCCCAGTACCAGCATCACCACGTGTTTCTCTCGTCGTGGATTGCTTATAGTAGGTATATTCGTAGATTGGGTACATTTGCTGCACGGCGATTGACGACTGAGTACATTTGCTGCACGATGATTGGACTTTCCAAGTGTAGACACAAACACATACACGTCTACTCTGTACAGATTATGCGCTACATCTGCGAATATCACGGTACAAATGGATACAAAGGAGCTTGTCGTGGTCATACTCAGATACCTTACTATAGCACACTTTGTCCAGGACTTGGAAGACCGGGACGGGGAAGTCCGAAAACTGTGACCACAGCTCCTGGTAATCCGATAGAGGTAAGATAGAGTTCTCCTGCGATAGGTAAGTTAAAATAGTAAAATAAGATAAAAAAATTGTTAGGACTATGAAACGGATTGAACCTAAACTGATTTGAGAGCTCATAATGATTGCTACTTCAATCTGTACATCTGTGTGCACTGATAGTCGTGATATCTGACGTGAAGCCATCGCGCGCAGAGTGATCATACATTGCCGATGAATAAGCAATAAGTTCGGAATCATACCAACCTAGTACTCAGACATCTCTCCAACAAGCTCGTAACCATAGCAACTCATAACTGCCCTCGTGCCATCGCAGCTATCTTACACAGCCCCCCCCCCCCCCCCTCACCTGGTACAGAACTTTCAGCCTCAGCTGCACGGTCGTTTCTCTGTCCAGGGTTGGGTTGGTGTCACCATCGTCCGCCGAGGTCAGATTGTACCAAACGTCGGTCGCCACAGTGCTTAGCAGCGCCACTTCTAACGTCTTCTGACCCAACGCGTCTTTCTGGTCCATACGCAGGCGGAATCGTATAGTCAGGTGCTCGTGTTTAGCTTTGAGTGTGAAATGCGTTGATGCGGCGTCTTTGAACTTGACTGTATCGTCTACTACTTGACCCGTGATTTCGCCGATGTGTTCTATGATTTCGCCCGAGACGGAGTCTGTGTATGAGGGGTTCACATGGTGGAAATCGGTCTCAGCAATCCAGATCTTCTGCCAAAATCGGCGTGAATTGTTGTAAGCAGAAATTAATCTTATAAATCCCATTTTTTGTTGCCAAAATTGGCACTAGTTGCTATATCCCCCCCCCCAAAAAAAATAATTTATCCGCACCGTGTACAAATCATAAATTAGCGAGGACTTGCACTTACTTATGAGCTCGATGATACATGCGCATGTCTTGGGCGAGCCACTATAGATCATATCGCGGCCTTCCACCAGTGTGATAGACACACACGGACCCGCTGGACTATTCTTCGTGTCGATCTGAACCCTGGAATAGATTACAATGTCAGGGATGGATGGAATGCATTAGAACACCATGCTGGGAAGGATTCTGAACCCTGGAATAGAATAATGTCAGGGATGGATGGAATGCATTAGAACACCATGATGGGAAGGATTCTGAACCCTGGAATAGAATACAATGTCAGGGATGGATGGAATGCATTACAACACCATGCTGGAGAAGATTCTGAATCCTGGAATAGAATACAGTGTCAGGGATGGATGGAATGCATTACAACTGCATGATGGGGAAGATGGATGGGGCGTGAGTTTATTAATGATGCGTAATGACGTGCGTACGGGGTTCAGAAAACGTTTGTGTTTGAATAAAAATATGGGTTCAGGGTTTAGGGTTGATTTGAGAATGGGGCACAGATCCACAGATATAATTACTCATGATGCGGCGAAAACACTCAGAGGGTATCAACCGAAGCACCTGTGCAGCATCTCATGGTGTAGTTCTGATCCTATACATCATCTGACTATATATCATATACATCATCTGACTATATATCATATACATCATCAGATTATATATCATATACATCAGCAGATTATATATCATATATAACATCAGACTATATATCATATTCATCATCCGACTATATAAAATATACACCAGTTGACTATATAGCATACGACTGTTGTTGAGATCCACATTGGACCTTCCCAGAACATTGGGTCAAAGGATTAATAGTTGCAGAGGTGTGATACACATACTCAGTTTTCAATTCGAAAGTTTTCCCGATCAACAGAATGAAATGGTTTCAGAGCAAGTACACAACCTCCTAGACGGAGAGGGAACAACTATACACACTGTCGTATAAATCACTCCTATATTACAACATGCTTGTATATATATATCCTCCCACCCTTGTCTAATTTTCGCTGAGTTCTCCTAAACCTATTTGATCTCTTAATAAACCCCGGGGGGGGGGTTGTTTTCGAGTTCACAGCGTGTCCGGCGTACCTGAGTCTCCCAGGCACCGGGTGTTCCTTGGCGGCTGATCTCATTGGGTGCCACGACTCAGTGTTGTTGGTCTGGTTGAGCAGCACCTGTCGAGGTATGCGTACTCTGCCCACAGGCACGGCCGCCTACGGAAAAGCCAGTAGAAGAAGATGGGGTGAGTGGAAGTAGCCGATATCAGCAGTAAGCAGCCCCTTCAAAAGGTTAAGAAGCCTTACAGCGTTGGGGTTTGTGTATAAAGGGTGGTTGGAATTAACAGGTATCCGTTGAACGCAATCAACCCACACTCTCCTCACCTGTGCTTCCTGCGCCAAGACCCACAATAAACCCTGACAAACATACACACATCTAGATGCTCGATTAGCTCGAAACGTGCCATGCGTTGTACTGAATGCTCTGTATTTGGCTTAAGCAGCTTAATCTAACTATAAACTAAATACATACGTAGGTGGGTCTGATCTCCATGAACTAAGCCTTGCTCAGTGAGGCCCACTTCTCAAGTTCAAGATATTGCAAGTGTAGCGAGAGGGTGCTATACTTGAGAGAATCATATTTTGGCTTTTCGAGCATCATGATACAACTAAACGCAAGCATCAACCCACCCTAAATGTACCCTTGACCCGTGCGGAAAGGTCCACATAATGGCCTTATGTACAGAGAAGTGTTGCGTGATGGCGATGTGCTGGAGAGATCCATATTTTGGCTTCTCGAGCACAAACATACAACTAAACACGTACTAAAACAAGCTCAATTTGTCCTGAACGTACCTTTGCCCCGTGGGGGAAGGCCCACATAATGATCTTGAGCTCCTGGAAGTGTTGTGGTAGAGTGTTGTACTCAAACTCCTCCGCCCAGAATGGATTGCAGGGGTCAGTCCACACACTCTTGCGCAGCATCCGTCGCTCCTGTCGCTTGCCGTGTATGACGCGTGTCTGCGAGTACTGAGACACGCATGAAATAGGCTAAGAAGTGAGTATTATAGTATGAAATAGGCTAAGAAGTGAATAATATACACATAAGATAGGCTAAGAAGCGACTATACACACAAAATAGACTATGCAGCGAGTATTATACACTTACGAAATAGGTGAAGAGGTGGGTTTCGCACACTTGGGATTTTTTTTCGTAGACTAGCGTGTGGAAGGACAATCCACGGATGAAATACGCTATGCAATGAGCACGGTGTCTTGTTCATGGATATCTGATACGAGCTATATATACGATGGTGTGTGTGTGGAAGTACTTATATACGGATGAAGTGCGCCAGGAAATTGGGATGTGTGTGTCCGCCAGGTTGCGTTGTACAATAAGTTATCCTATGAGTATTGTTTGGTGTCCTTTTCCTCTATACAACGCCTATCTGGAAGTACTTTACACTGAAATGCGTTGTGCGGCGAACTGAACGCCTAGCTTGTGCATTGTGCGCGCCCTGGGAACACACGTTGCACAAACAAATTAACGTATTAAATTTGGTTTGTCACTTTTACGCCAGTATAATGCGGGTTTAGGAATACTGTATGCACCCAGAATAATAAAGAACTGCTGCGGCGAGTTGTATGTCGTACATTATGAGGTAGTTCCTCTGTACAATGTGAGTTTGCGAGTACTTCATGAGATAGCCCATTGTCGGTCAAACATCGCCACATCAGACAAGACACGTCCACTGTATATATAATTTACTTAATCATGGTCAAACATCACCACGTTAGATAAGACACGTCCACTGTATATATAACATACTATGTCATGGTCAAATATCACCACATTAGACAAGCCACGTCCACTGTATATATAACATACTAAATCATGGTCAAACATCACCACATTAGATAAGACACGTCCACTGTATATATAACTTACTATATCATAGTCAAACATCACCACATTAGACAAGACACGTCCACTGTATATATAACTTACTTTATCATGGTCAAACATCACCACATTAGACAAGACACGTCCACTGTATATATAACTTACTATATCATGATCAAACATCACCACATCAGATGCGACACGTCCACTGTAAATATAACTTACTTTATCATTGTCAAGATGAATGGTGCAGAATATCTGATCGACGCTTGAAACGCCTTTGGCCTCGATTACTTTACAAAAGAGTTTCGAGTCCTGACGCACCTGTCAGCGTGAAGTGCATTTAGGTATCGCCAATTAGCAACATAGCCCTGTGCCTATTATTTAGCAGATACAAGGCTGTAGTTGTTGAGATATGATTGTAAATCAAAACAAGGAAACATGCAAGGCTACTAACGATCGACAAAAAAAATTATAGAAATGCATGATCAATGATCAATCAAACTTAGAGAAAAAGCTAGAGAAACGCACATCATGTAAATATACACAATCA